CTGTCGTCCACCAGGACACCCAGGTCTCTCTCCACAGAGCTGCTCTCCAGCAGGTCTGCCCCAAGCCTGTACTGATGCATGGGGTTGTTCCTCCTCAAGTGCAGGACCCTGCCCTTGCCCTTGTTGAACCTCATCAGGTTCCTCTCTGCCCAACTTTCCAGACTGTCCAGGTCACGCTGAATGGCAGCACAGCCTTCTGGTGTATCTACCACACCTCCCAGTTTGTCATCAGCAAACTTGCTGAGGGTACACTCTGTCCCTTCATCCAGGTCATTGATGAAGAAGTTGAACAAGACTGGGCCGAGTGCTGACCCCTGGGGACACCACTAGTTACCGGCCTCCAACTAGACTCAGCGCCGCTGATGACAACCCGGGTAGCTTCCTGACAGCTGCTCCTTGGAAACTCATCGCAGCAACTGTAAAGTACTCTGATTGAGCAAACACATTATTTGCTTTTTTTGAAGTTCTCCCATAAATAAGAATCTTATGTGTGATAAGGGAAGTTCCTATATGCAGTAACATTCACGAAACATCACTTGTAGAAGAACATAAAGCATAAAACAATTTGAGTCAATAAACAAGAGGTCCTCTGTTGTACTTAATCTCATTTAAACACTGGGTTTATAATAAAATACATATATTACATTTGCTTTGAATTTGTGGTTTTCAAAACTTGATTCCAGCTTGTCTTCAAATTTCAGCAGCTAGTGATTCAAAAATTTTAACTTATCCAAAGCATTCCAGTCATAGTTCTGAATAACTAAAATTTCATATCTTTCGAAAACAAATCCATGTCTACCAAAACAAAGATTCAATACTAAGTAGAACACTACCAGTCACTAAGTTCTAACACCCACAGTTCTCACTAAGCCACAACAGCAGAGAACAGCACTCACCCTGTATCACACAGAGGCTGACGAGGACTCAGGCGCGTTTCAAGGACATCTCTGTTCATGTACATGGACACCGCGGTTCTGTCTGGAGACTGGTCATACACAAAGTTTCGGCAAGATGCAAGTTTGGACTCCAAAGCCTAATGTAAACACAGACAAGACAAGTGTCAGATATCACCTTTCTCTTTCACAAGATGGCATTGTGGCACACTAAAATGGCATTAAGAGTTTTGAGGGGGTTTTTTTGCTTTTTGTTTGTTTCAGAATGAGTTTCCTACTATAGGAACCTGCTAGACCCCAGTGCCACATGAGTTGTGAATTTTTGAAGAGATGAAGGCAGTCATCTCTCTGAAGCTGATCCTGTTTCTGTATGGGAGATTAAGGAGTTGATGCTGTTCACTAGCAGGAACCGAAAATCTTCACCTTCCTTGGAGATTTTGACATCTTTCTTACCGGCATCACTTTTTAGATTACTAAATGTTTATTTGAGCTATCTGCTCACCTAGATACGTATTAGGTTGTATGTATTAGCTGGTACACCTAAGGGAACTGAGCCAAAGATACCTGACTCTCCACCACATGTTCCCATCCTCCATCACTCCACCTTTGTTGCTGCTTTACTTTTCATCTGTCTCGGTTCTGCAGCTCAGCCAATCAAAAAGTCATACAAATGCTTGTGCTGACACAGCACTGGGGCACAGGATAACTTTTCCAGCATCACCAGTACTTTAAATGTCAAACTGTAGCTTAATGTGACATTAGGCCTTGCTCAAAAGGCTACTGAACTCATAAGGCAAACTTCACCAGATGCCCTCTGGACAGCAGACACCAGCCTGCTTTCTTCTCTGCCTTTCGTGGGAGCAGATCTCTTCTTAATTTACTCATACCGATTTATTCTTTCTGCACACACGTTTTCAGAAATTTGTGGAGGAAGACCTTATCTACAAGGGGATAACATCTTCTTAGAAAAGCAGAGCAGGGTACAAAATCCAGATCAAATTTCAAGACCATGCTTGGCTAACCTGGGGGCAAGATACTCTTTCCAGTCTCCTCTGAGCAGCAGCACAAATAGTGCTGGCTGCAGTTTCAGGAAGCTCTACCTTTCCAAGAGGTTAGCAGGTAATAACTCACCCCCACTTTTCGCAGCAAGTCTCCCACGATGTTAAGTGCAGATATTCTTGCAGCAGGTGTGAGAGGGGTTGCACCGTAACTGTCCTCAAGACCTGTAGGGCAGGTTATGGAAGGATATATTACTCATTCAAAAAAACAAAGCTTGACACTGGAAGTCAGAAGACAACCTGACAAACAGCAGTGGAAACATCAAGATCTGCACATCCAGATCTTTCACATTCACTAGGAATATGAAGTGCTGTCTCACAGAGACAGCTCAAGTTACACTGTCCTAGGCTAAAGTCTCTAGACGTGCTGTGGCTTGGGTTTCTAGAGATCCGTTCTACCATCCTACTCTGCATCTCTGTAGCTGCAGTGGGACCAGAGCGATATGTGCTCAGAGAGGACCATCACATCTCATTTTACTACAAATCTCCAAATCCTCTCACTGTTACAGAAGCATTAATTCCTCCACACGAAACACAATTTTAGGTTAAGCATACTGAAGCCCACAATCAAACCTTGTTAGTGCTCAGAGCTACAATATCAAATCATCAGAATGTAACAGTACAGCTCATTGCATTTATGTATACGCATGAACACAGTTATGCAAATGTCTGGCTTTTTAAGTGAGAAGCAGATGGGACAGCTAGTGTTAGAAGTTTGAAATATTGAAATGATCAGTGCTCACAAAAAATAAGTAACTGGTATTATTGACACAAAAGCAGAGATATAGTCATGTATTACAGACATGTAGGATGACTTGTCAGTGTCCTGCTGTTCCAAAGTAAAAACAAAGCCTCTCTCAAAGCACACCTACCCTTACAGAATAAACGATCCAAGTAACATGAGTGTGACATTAAAGATCACATTGAAGTTTCAAAAATCCTTCCCCTAAGTTAGCCCAGCATCTCTGTAACAGCTGTGATCTAATAGTAAAGTCCTAACAGCTCATCTTGTCTCTAACAATTATTATTACTGAACAGTTCAAGTCAAATGGAAATGAACAGCCTATAAATGAACCTCAAAAATCACAGTCTACGAATGCTGAGACCACGATGACTAGATTTAGATGTGTTTAACTGAAACTCAGCTCCGCTCCATTCTTCTCATTCCTCTTTTAGCCAGAAACTATAGTGAAAAAAGAGCATCAAATAATATTTCTGTGCTGGTTCCCTGCCAGTCACCTCTCCTATATGTTGCAGGGGTGGGTATGTTGATGTTGGGTGTCCGGTGCACCGAGGGAGTTGAAGGCACAGATAAGGACGCCTGAACTGCAGTGTCTGTTCTTTCCGTTTCCAGGGTAGTTCGCATTGGTGTTTTGAGTTTCTCCTGTTTCTGCTGCACCGCAAGCTCCTGTCGTAGATCTATGAAGTAAGCAACACAAAGCAAGCCTTTGGAGTATGCATCTACCAAGACAAAAAACAGGTGAGAATGTTTGCTTTGCTCAAAAGGTTGGACCCCCTGTGGAGGGGACTACAAAGTAAAGTCACTTCTTGTAAAGATTACTCCAGGCGTACGTTCAAAATCTGGACAATCACTAAAGGCTTTGCTAGGATTGTGGCTCAAGATGTTATTGTAGTGTTAGTTCCATTGCTATTATCTGCCTTTAATTTTCACACCCTTTCACAAGGCTCCCTTTGAGGCAGGGAATCAGCTCCTTTCCAAATGTTACAGGCTGGTAAGCAGAGGTAAGCAAGACCCAGGCTAGGCGACTTGGTACACTTTGGCTACATTCCAGCTCCCTGCCAGCTTGAGATCCTGCCTATTGAACCCTTTTCTGTCCTACTCTGGTTTCCATATAAAGGAAACCTGAGCTGAGGCTGGGTGAAAGCCACACCATTATCTAGCCAAAGGATAGAACACTTCTGTTTCACAGCCTGGCTGTAGCTTATGAAAACCAGTCAAGGGCACAGAATCTAAGCAGATCTGGAAATAGGTGTTTTTCCAGCTCTGTGATCCCTCTCTTCTCACCCAGCCTTACTGGCAGACACCAAGAAGCTATCACATGAAAAAGCAGGGCGATAAGCAGGATCAAAACCTTGGACCTCAGGAGGGCTAACTTTGGCCTCTTCAAGGAGCTACTGGGAGGAATCCCGTGGGCCAGGGCTCTCGAAGGCAGGGGGGTCCAAGAGTGCTGGTTGCTCTTTAAACTTCACTTCTTCCACGCTCAGGAGCGGTGCATCCCCCTGAGAAAGAAATCTAGCAAAGGACACAGGAGACCTGCATGGTTGAACAAGGAGCTTCTAGCGGAGCTCAGGCACAAGAGAAAGGTCCATGGAATGTGGAAAGAGGGGCAGGCCACTTGGGAAGAGTACAGGAATGTGGTCAGAGCGTGCAGGGATGC